CCAGCCTGCGTAGTGAGGATGCTGGGCTGGGCCAGGCACTGGGCGATGGGCAGACGCTGGGTTGGGGGGCAGGCGCTGGGTGGGGCGGGGGTTGGGGGGGGTGGGCAGGTGCTGGGTGGGGCGGGTGTGGGCAAGCGCTGGGCGAGGGGCAGACGCTGGGTGAGGGAAGGCGCTGGGTGAGGGCAGGTGCTGGGTGGGGGCAGGTGTGGGGGGGTGGGCAGGCCCTGGGTGGGGCGGGTGTGGGGGGGGCGGGTGTGGGGGGGGTGGGCAGGCGCTGGGCCATGGGACCAGGTGCTGGGCACAGCTGGGCGGTGGCCTCCCACCTGGAGATGACGCTGGCCATGCCGTGCTCACAGTCACTGGTGCTGTAGATGCTCAGCCGGGCTAGGAGGTCCAGCAGGTGGGCTGAGAAGTTCTTGTCAAACTTGTTGATGGTGGCCTCGAAGCCGGACACGAGCTGTGCAGCGTCCGCGTGCTCCACCAGGTGCTGGAATAAAGCGGAGCTGGGGGTATGAGCCGTGCCCACCCCCACCTCGGGCCTTCCTGGCTTCCACACTGCTCCCAGCAGGCCCATGGACTTTCCCTTCCTCTTTTCTTAAACAGAAAACATACCTTTAATCCCCACAATGTTTTCAGGGGATTAAAGGTAAAAAGGACATCAAAAAACATTCCTGCGAATCTGGCACTCAAGAGACACACTTCAGGCCTTGTGAGGTGAGGAGGTCAAGGCTCAGACCCCACAAGGCTGTGCCTCGAGCTCTCCTTTGGGGTCAGATCTACAAGCAAAGAATAGGCTTTCCCAGCCACTTCTCAGCAAGGAGAACGAGGCGCCTCTCAGCGTCCCTCACATGCTCCCAAACCCAACTCTGCCAGCTCCAGCTCCAGCTCCAGCTCCAGAGTGTGAACAGGTGACCGCCCACCCCCCATGCCACGCTAGAGACGGTGCTGTGGGGCTGTGCCTCCGAGGACACACAGCCTGTCGGTGCCTGCTGAGTGCCTGACGGTTCTAACTCAGGACCCGCGCAGGGCAGGGACGGTGGGCCCTGCCCTTGCCAGGTGCCTGTGCAGCGCTCGCTCTGAGAGATTTTCAGAGCAAGCTGAACTGGGAACCACAGGGCTGAGAAAAAAAGCTCTTGTAGTTGTACTTAGAAGCTAATTTTAAGTCTTTTCTTCAATCCTAGGGGACATGGAAATAAAAGGGGGCAGGTTTGTTCTCCTTTCATCGACACGCTCAGGCTGGCGTCCCGGCCAAGAGGAATCGTCTCACTGGCTGGCCCTGGAGGCCACGCACCTTCCTGGCGAGCTCCTTCCGCACCCGCTCCTCAGCCCCTGCAGGAGGCCCTGGGATGGTGCCATGCTCCAGCGTCTGCCCGCCCAGCTCGCTGTCCAATTTCATGCTCTGTGTAAATTTCTAGGCAGTGGAGAGTCGCAAGGAAACGCTCGTTAGTTACAACCACAACGCTCTGCAGAAAACAGAAGTCCTGCAGGTCCATCACCCACAGCGTTTCTGCTGTAGCCTGAGGCTGCAGGAACACGCAAGTGTCTCTCAGAGGCTGCAGGGGAAATGACTAGCTGTGCCAACACGATTCCTGGGTCTGCCTTCCACAGTGACCAGCTAATTTTCCTAAGCACAGTTTTCTTCCGTGTTTCCCAACTTGGGACCTCGAAGTGGCTCTCAGTGTCAGCAATGGCTCACAGCGCCCGCGACCGCGTCCTCGTCCACCTCCCCACCCGCCCTCCTCCCAACCTTTCCCATGGCACTGCCTGGAGAGCCTGACCCTCAAACCCTCGGAGCCCCACACGTCCCCAGGAGTCCCTTCTACCACTAGACGCTCGTGTTCCGCCCCATCGCCAGTGGGTAGCTGCTGGTGACAAGCACCCGCAGGTACTTAATGGAATTAAATAACTCAAGTGCTGAGGAACAGCATGCAAGGCCATCAGAAGAGGCCCCGGGACAGAGACCAGCACCATGGAGGCTGAGGGATGGTTCGGGAGGAACACGGCCCTGCCCACGCTGCCAGGGCAGGGGCCTCAGGAGAGAACCAGCCGGCCAGGAACACTCAGATCCCAGTGGGCTCCTCCACAGACACAGAAGCAGGAAAAGGTGTAGCGGGCTGCGTGCGGCCACGGTCTGCACACCCATGCCCACACCCCTCGTCACGTGCTGCCCACACCTGCCCCGCCCCCCATGCGCCACCCACACACCTGCATGCAGTTGGTGAACATGACGCACACGGACATGAGCTTCGAGAAGACCTTCAGCAGCTCGGGGTTGGTGAGCATGCAGTCCTTCAGACAGGTGTCCAGGAAGCCCGTGTGGTGGCCCAGCACGTCGTCGATGTTGGAGGCCTGTGGGGAACGGCACCAAGCCCCTTCTCAGAAAGATGAGCTCCAGGTGGGCATGTGCTGAGTCTGGCTTCGCTCACTCCTGTTCATGCACGTCCACCTTTCACATGGCCTTGGGCTTTTAAAGAAAAACTTCCAAATACCACTAAAACAATGACGGGCATAGCTGGTCACTGTGGAAGGCAGGCCTCTCCCCTCCCCCTCCTCTGCCCTCCCCCTCCTCTGCCCTCCCCCACCTCTCCCGTCCCCGACCCCTCCCCTCACCCCTCCTCACCTCGCCTCTCCCCACCCTGCCTTTCTCCTCCTTTCCTCCCCCCTTGCTCTCCCCTCCCCTCGTCCCTCCTCTCCCCTCGTCCCTCCTCTCCCCCCACCCCACCTTTCCCCTCCCCCTCCTCTCCCCTCACCTTATGTGAAAGGAAACCTGCTTTCAAATGTCATCTATGGGGCTAAAACTCACAGATTTCAGGTTTTTCTCCAGGATGTGCCAGGTCGGTTCCATCACTTCGAACATCATGTAGTACTGAATGTTCTGGACAAAGTTGAGCATTCGCTGCCGCAGAGTGAACGCCCCAGCAAACCTGAGGGACGTGGAGGACAGCCGTGGAGGACGCGGCCCCAGCGGCGCCCCCTGGACGTGGCTGTGCCCTCCGCAGAGCAGGCGCCCTCCCAGCACATGGGACGCTCACGACTGTGGCTGTCACCCTCCACCAGCCCCACGGTGGAGACTGGGACGCGGGCTCCTCGGCGAACGGACCCCTTGGAGCCCCGGGAGCCCACACCAGGAGGAGTTACACCGCAGCGGCATGTCTGTGCTTCACGATCGAGATGAGTTTTTTCTTCTAATTTTATTTTTCGAGAGACAGGGTCTCGCTGTGGCTCGGGCTGCAGTGCAGTGGCATGATCTTGGCTCATTGCAACCTTGACCGTCTCTGAGCTCAAACAACCCTCCCACCTCAGCCTCCTGAATCACTGGAACTATAGCCAGTCCCGGCTAATTAAAACAAATTTTTTTAAAGAGATATGGTCTCATTACATTGCCCAGGCTGGTCTCGAACTCCTGGGCTCCAGCAATCCTCCCACCTCGGCTTCCCAAAGTGCTGGGATTACAGACAAGCCACCACACCTGACTGGACAAATTTTAAGGCAGCTCTGCCATCAACCCCTTTTTTCAATACCCTAAAGCCACAAACCAGCTGGAAAGCACCTCTAGTCCCAGCACAATGTGGCTGCCTGCCCTCGGGAGGGGCTCTTGTCCTGCACACAGACCTGGGCGGGCTTCAGAGAAGGCTGAGGGACAGAGCCAGCATCACCGTGCAGCCCCCAGACAGGAAAATGACGCATGATGGATCTAAAGCTACAAAGGTGCATGTTCAGATGGCGCTTCCAGAACCCTAAAAAGCACAACTGTCTACCCACAGCGTGCATGGGGGTGGAGGGCAGAGGAGGAACCCCCCACTTGGCGGAACTGTCTACCTGCAGGGTACACGGGGGTGGGGGGCAGAGGAGGAACTGTCTACCTGCAGGGCGCAC